ATAATATTGATAACTTTTGTAAACAAAGCAAATTTTGTAAAACTTTATAATAATTTTGTATTAAAATGGTTACTTTTTGAGCTGTATGTGTTTGTTGTACTCGAACATATATTGTTATGAGCATCTGGAGGACACTCTAAGGATTTGTGACGTCAGTGCAATGGGTCTATATATACATGAACTTGCGGTTAGAGCTTGACTCTGTATAGCTCAGCTGGTTATTGTGCTGCACGGAAATCGCAGGGCCGATAGTTACAATTTTCGCAACTGCTCCTGGTCAGATCTGATGTGTAAAATTTACGCTCGAAATGTCCATCTACAAAACAAATCCCTCAACAATTAGTTCTATCCAGTGAGATACCAAACATCCTAACTGAAAAGCAGCCTTCACATATTTTTACAAAAACGTGAAAATTTATTTAGCCCCCAGACTCTATCCCCCCCCCCCCTAATAACCCCCCAGTCCAGAACCAAGGGGGGAAATAAGCGCCAAGGGGAAAGGGGGGAGGAAGTGAGAATTATTCATCGCAATGTGAACTGTTTTTCGGTTAAAAGATTGTAAAACATCAAAACATGTCACTCACCACTTTGCATACCCAAGCGAGACGCTTCACTTCTCATGTAAGTCAATATTTCAAGAGAACGAGAAAAACCTTGTAATTTTCTCGCATCACCAGAGAATGGGTCCAAACCATACGGATGAAAGACTCGACAGTTCCACATTGACGGAAATGGACGCATCACATATATATCGTCTTTCTCTCCGTCCTCAGAGAAGTAACAATACCTTTCAAAATACCAGAAAAAAGTAAGCAAAATAGAACTATAGATACATCCCTTGTCAACGCATTAAACATACATTAGCGAACTTAAGCAAGGCTTAATCTAATACCCCTGAATTTTCAGGGGAGGTACAGCAATTCTCAGGAGAATTATACAAGGTGCACATGGTCTTAGCTAGAAGGCCGTGTTAAAACGAACGTGGCTTTATTATTGATGTAAAGCCGTGCAGGTTTATATAGTAATGTATTAACTTACAAAAGACAGAATTTTCTCCAATTTGTGTCGTAAGAAAAAGTTTGTTAAATGTATAGTTTGTTGAAATTGGTAAAAGCGATCCGGTATGTTTTTATATGTAGATGGATATAGGTAATGGGAACTCGCCGCATTAAGCATATATTAGTGAACTTATAAGCAAGGCTTAATGTGGCTTAATGTAATAAACCCCTGAATTTTCAGAGAAGGTGCAGCAATTCTTAGCCTACGTGGCAGGCCCATTGAATATAGGTCTGCAACAATCTCAAGGAAATTTGGTATTTCGGGGTCGTGAGAGGACGCGAAAATCCTATTGGCTAAAATAATAATATATGCCAAAATACACGCATAAATTATGGCGCAATGTTTATACGCTTTCACTAAAAACGTATATTTTTGAAAGAGTACTGTGAATTTGGGTTTTAAACCAAAAACTAAACAGCTACAGATCGTTGAGATGTTTTGGCAGGTTTTCGCATTGGATATCTGCCTTGGCAAGTCAAAGAGCATGGATACACACCCATGCACGTGTTGGTATTTCTCTAAATAATACAAGGCCCGTTTACACGACAGTCGTTTTGGGCACGGCACGCTTAAATTTTGGCACGCGGACCAATTTTTTTGGGCACGCACTCCTGATTTTTGTCGTGTAAACGGCACCGGCCCTGTCCGATTGCGGTACGTGTACCTAAAATTTTTGGCGGGCCGAGACCATCTCTTGAGGTAGTCTCGGCCCGCCAAATAAGCGGCACCGTGCCCAAAATTTTGCTATTTCAGCACTTTTCGGTTGCGCGAAATATTTCGCGGGAATTAACATTAAGCAAAATGGCCGCCGTCAAGACTGAGAAACAGAGGGAAAGTATGGAGCAAGGAAGCAACAAAAACCCTGCTTAATCTGTAGTGCGATAAACCAATTCAGGTTTCATTTGATCAGTCCAAGGGATCTAAAGAAACTAGTAAAGTTTATCAGAGCCCTACGAAATTTGCAAATTTTGTATTAATTTGTATTACGCCCGAGGAAATGCACCACTTTGGGCCGAAAATGTTCCGCATTTTACAACATTTTGCAACCAATCTTTGCAAATGTACTAATTTATAATAGATAAAATGTACTAATTTATGGAGTCACTTTTGACTTCCATTACCGCTATCACTACCTCGCGCTGACCTGGTTTGCATGTAAGTGGTTCGTGGTTTCTAACTAGTGGTGCTGGTGCTGGTGGGGGTCAAAACTGAACCTCACAAATAATTTCACAGTAGTGTAGTTATGTATTTATTCTTGCATGTTTTATATAGTATAAAGGCCTGTAAAATCAGTATTTACGTTGTCCAGTTTGCAGTATTTACGTTGTCCAGTTTGCGTGTTTTAGTGTTAGATGGATGGACTTAGTATGGGATCTCTCTCCTCCGAAGAGGCTTTAGTTTTCTTAGGATTTAATATTACGATGAAATACATTTCACTACACTTTACATGGCGGATCTTGGAACACGAGCGTAGCCGCTGGGCGAAGGAGCGCAGGCGGCAAAGGGAAAGGCGAAGGAAGGCGCGAAGCCTCTGCACGATTTGCATCGCAAAGTGGGACAAAGTTGGACAAAGTGTAAACATCGAAACAAAAGGTGATTTTTAAGCTAAACAAGAAACGTCTTTTTGAAAATTAAATCATTATTTAATGCATGATTGATTGACCTCATTGACTAGTGCTTGCATGTTTGTGGATGGTCAAAAGTAATATTTTTTAACATTTAATACACAAAGCAAACAATCGGAAATTTTACTCACCGCTTGACCAAACATTCTGTATTTCGTATCGGGAAAAACTTGAATATTTCTTGAACTCTTCGGAATTCGCCACCATTCAAAGAAGTAAAATACCCCTTGTATTCAAGCGCTTTCGTGTAGAAAATTTCTTTTAAATACGGCCAGTAGAAATATTTATTTTTAATTTTTCAAAATGTCGGGTTTTTACTCGCACAGTCGCACGCGCCTGTCACACGCTGATCTTCGGGAATTAGTTCACAATCAGACCAGGAATGGAAATACCATAATAAAAGATGAAGTTTTCAAGATACAAGCTCAAAAATAACACTTTAAGTAGTGTTTTGAATTCGCTTTCGAACAAGAGTAATACAAAGAGGATGCGTCCCAAGGAGCCGAAGTTATGGTCGCCGAAAGGTATGCCTAGTTTATATTTTTTGTCAAGTGTAAACCTTGCGTGATTTGATATTAATATACAAAATCCCGCTTGACTTTCAAAGGTCATAAATCGCTATAGTGTTGACATTTCACTAAAACTATCGATAGAAACTAGGAGATATTTTTGTACTGAATCGAACGGTGGTATTTTCATCTACATAGCATATATTGAACCAAAGATACGAACCTCCAAATAAATCAGGTCGAAACCGACTGAAGGTCGCGTTTGTTTATAAATATTGCTGAAGTTGAAATAGTTGAATTGTATTTTCAGTCTTGATAATAAATTTAATAATGGTTCTGTATGCTATACATACTCATTTTTTTCTTTTATGCGGTTTTGGACACATTTCTAAAAATACAAATGTCATATATAAATTTAAATAAAAGTTTCTTCGCTTGCAACCAAAACCTGTTCGCTAAATACGTTGTTTCCGTGCATTGTTTTATACTGTAGATGGAGACCTTGTCTAGAAAAAATGCAGATGTTTTCTCGCAAACTGAACATAACACTTTCTTATTTCGTAGAGCTAGTAACTAATCTCTTTGTCAGCTTGTTGCAGTATTGTAAAGAGATATTTTCTCAGTCATTTTGACTTGAATTTTGCTTTCGATAATTATACGCTCCCCCCCGGTTTACCGCCATATTGGGTGTGGAATCGTGCAGAGGCTTCGCGCCCTCATAGCCAATTAAAGCCTCTGCGGAGGAGAGAGGTATGGGATTCTAGTTCTGTTGTCCAATCCTTCAATCATAGCTGTATGTGTATTTTTTATATAATATGATTGTAAAGTTAATTAAAAAAAATAAATTTAAGATGGTTTTTCTAGCTGTGGTGATGGATTTTGTTCTTCTTGCCTAGATCTAAATTTGGTCTATATAGCTGGAATCATCCATTATTAACATTGTATGAATTATTGTTCTCAGCTGGACGTCAGTTCTTCCTAGCTAAAGTAATCTGCTAATGCTTCACGAATGTCGTGTGCATCAGCTACAATGTCAATATTATCAATCCCCACAACTGCCTCCGCGGCTCTTTCTGGTTCTTCCCGCTGCGGCAAAAAATCGTTGTTTTGAATCTCGCAAATATTATGCAGAATACAAGAGGCTAAAACAACAATGACCAGTGCAGGTGCAAGGTACCTCCATATCAACACATTTCCTAAATCTAATAAAACGTCCTTTTCACCTATAGCGAAGGTGTTTTCTACAATCATCCTGGCACTATACTAAGGCGATAAGACTCGTTCTCTTCTTGGCTGGTCATCGTTTCCCTGAAAACCTTTCAAAACCCATGGCAAGAGGGGAAATGCAGGATCCGCTATTATAAACGGTAACATTTCTACTCCTTGTTATTCCACAGTGAGATCATCTGGAAATAGCTTGCCTTCATTCCCCGGCTTTCTTGAAAATAGATGAATTTGAAAATACCCGTGCGTCGTGAACGCTTCCAGGCCAACCAATGACCACATCTCTATAGAGGTATTTGCAATCCACTACAGCTTGCATGATTATGCTGCGATAGCCTTTCCTGTTTACGTATTATGCGTGACATTCGGACGGTGCAGCGATAGGAATGTGTGTCCCGTCAATTGCTCCAGCACACATTGGGAAACCCCATCGTTGTTCATAATCATTGATAATTTGCACCAATTCGTCTCCACGCGGAAAACTGACGACATACGACAACTTGCTTTGTTATTGCTTTGCAGACATCTCTAACGCACAAACACACGAATCGAACGATCTTGAAACACCAAATAAATTGGCTATAGTTCTATATTCACTCAGCAGTGGATGCCAAGAAGTATGTAATGGCCAGCCGTCGCTTCGCCGAAATTGCAGAACGCATGGCTGTACCTTTGCCGCGTATATATATTTCATGACTTTATTTAAAAGAAATTCGAATGTTCCCCTTGTAACTCGAAAGTTTGAATACCAAAGTTTGTCATCATACTCTCGATCTATACCATCTCGAACCAGGTAAGTGATCGTGGATATCCATAGTGCTCCGTAACGTGGACACAAACTAAAATTGCTTTCAAAAATGTAATTCGGAGTTTATTCGTTGAATAAGCATCTGATCTCAGCAGGGTCTTTTCTTTAATATTCTTACGAGTCTCTATTTTTACGAGTGCTGTGCCAAATTATTGGAGTGCCCGTCGATTTTTTTTGGCCCGGAAATTTGGCAAACTCTTGTCGTGTAAACGTGGAGTACCATGCTATGAATAAATGGTACGGTACCAAAAAATTAAACAAACATTAGGGACCTTTAGCAAATAGGTGACGGCAACGCGACGATGACGGCCAAAACAAACTCGTTTAAATAAGTAACTTTAAGGACAACATGTCTTGTATTATCCGTTGTATGAATTTATTGCAGTTTAAGAAGGTTAAGACAGAGGTTTATAGTTGAGAAGACTTGTACTAAGCCAATTTGCCGAGGACGACTTCTCGCGCCTTGAAAGGCAGACGTTGTGTACAAAACGTGAAAAACTTTGGTTTGCTAGCTGTTGTGAACAGAGCAAGGACGACGTCTAAAACTCCCAAGGGACCTTTAATTATGCATTTTCTTTCTATACACTGTCATAAATTTCATTGTATTAATAGCCGTCACCGTCCTGCTAGCTAAAGGTCCCTATTTGTCGTGTAAACGGGCCTACAACAGTAACGGGTCATCAACTTGAAATACTTAGTTTAGTTTAGTTTAATTAATTCGCCAGTAAATTACAATGACATATATATAACAAGTTACAAGTTTACCAAACAGACGACTGGCAGGAGTTAGATACAGGACTAATGTCCCAGTTGCCATCCTACCCCTATACATCAATACAATACACTAAGAAATATTCACGCAGGTAAGCAATACGTAGCTAATTTATCGAAGTATAGGTTAGTGATTTTAGTCTTAAATAAAGTAATTGAATTACAAGATTTTAAATTAGAAGGTAACGTATTCCAGAGTTCTGCAGCCCTAATGAAAAACGACTTTCTATAATAGTCTTGTTTGTGCTTAATAATCAAGTTGTAGTTATTTGGGTCGTAATTACGTGTCCGATAGCAATAAACGTAAGTGTTCAGGTACTTATTCACGTCCATAGTTATTAGCCCATTTCTGGACTTAAACAATAAAGTTAAATCCGAAATCTCTCTTCTGAATTCCAGTGGTAAAAGGCGTAGTTTCTGCAGTCTCAATGGATATGGCATATCTTTAGGGTAATTAAGAATAAACTGGGTACCTCTTCGCTGAACATTTTCGATAAGTAAACGATGTTTACCTGTGTAAGGCGACCAAAGACTACTGCAGTACTCAAGCTTTGGTCTAACAACAGTACAATACAGAAGCTTCCGGGTATTTGTGTCCTTGATATCCCTACACAATCTTTTGACAAGACCAAGAGTTCTGTTAGCTTTAGAGACAATCTCTTCGATGTGTTCAGACCATGAAAGGTTGTTGGTGACAGTAATTCCGAGGTCCAATATGTTAGGAACATTTTCTAATGGGTTACCAGCCAAGTAGTAGTTTTTACCCATTAGGTGATGTACTGTAGGTAATCTCTTCCTTGAAAAATGGACTATTTTACATTTACTAACATTGAATGCCATTGCCCAGTTTTCACCCCAGTGACTGAGGCTGTCGAGATCTTTCTGAAGGGAAAAACTGTCATTAGGTAAATAGATAAGATGGAAAAGTTTGGAGTCGTCCGCATAAAGAGCAATTGATGAATTGTTTTCTAAATAAGTGGGTAGATCGTAAATGTATATTAAGAAAAGAAGCGGCCCAAGGATAGACCCCTGCGCGCGGGACGCCCGATGTAACAGGGAGCAAGTCAGAAGAATGTCCGTTAATAACCACTCGTTGTTGTCTTTCCGATAAGTAACTGCCAAACCATGAGAGGGTAGGATCAGAAATACCATACGATTTAAGTTTTAATAAAAGCAGATTGTGTGGTACTTTATCGAACGCTTTGCTAAAGTCAAGGTAAATTGCATCTACTTCTTGACCACTAGCAATACAGTACATTCCAGAATTTGATGGTATACTACCAACAACTGCGTATTCGTGGATCGCTCTCTCAGGAAACCATGTTGGAGATAATGGAACATAGAGTGTAGGTGTTCATAACAGTGATTATAAACACATCGCTCTAAAACTTTCGATAACGTATCGAGTAAAGAGATACTGTAGGTCTATAGTTCGATGGAATTGTCGGATCATTCTTTTTAAAGATGGCAGTAAACGTTTATGATGTTCAGCCGTTGCAATTTTGAAAACATATATTCGCTCATATAGCTGGTAGTATTTTGTATGACATTGAAATTTATTATAATGTTTGGACCTAAGAAGGTATTGTCTTCCTTTTGATATAAATATATTTTTGAGTTCCGTTCATTATTAATACGTAAAAATAGTCAGTGTTGAGTAACGGCATTTAAACTGTTTTAGTGTTTATCAAGTCAAAATGTTTTGTTCTAGTGAATTATATCACATACTAACGTACCAAACCGACATCTCCGGTGCCTGTAAATTATGTTTTATTTATTCCAACAGTAATTTAAAGACAATTAAAGACTAAACAAATACTTTTTTATATTTTGAACTGCTGTATTAATTTGTAGAATAAGATATACTAACTGAATATCTAACACTTTTCTGATTCGCTATTGTAAATTAATATAAACTAGAGTACGTTTTAATTCAATAAAGTTCGAAAGATGCAAAATTTGGGCAAAGTTTGTATCTGTGGGTCCCCTTTTGTTATGCGCAGAACTGATAAGCAGAACGGTTTTGACATGGTCTTTAAACCGCCAATAGCCGAATTCATATTAGAGACGGGAAACTCGTCTTAGACGGGAAACTCGTCTCAGACGGGAAACTCGTCTAATATGAATCCGGGCGCAGACGAGTTTCCCGTCTGAACTTTCCCGTCTAACTTACCCGTCTAAACAGACGGGGAATCTCGTCTAGACGGGAAACTCGTCTTAAATTCGAATTTGCCCGTCCCTAAATTCATACTCAGACGGGTTTTCGCAGACGAGTTTCCCGTCCCTAATATGAATTCGGCTAATTTTATAAAAGTTTGAATTCTCGAGCTACTACATATGAACTATATAAACAGTTATAAGACTATTAGTTATTACTCACACTGCATCACGCACGCGAATTTCAGATAATATGATTGGTTGGATTGGAAATAAATTATCATAGTAATTAGTGAGCGGTGATCAAATTTCCTTGAGATTGTTGCAGGCTCTTATTTACCCATTGAGCCAAGCAATCCTCAAGAGAATTACAAGGTTTAGGTGCGCCCTCACCTCGAAATCCGGGCATGCATTTAACAGAAAACACGCACCTACCAAGTCTTGTTAACGTTATTATCAGTCCATCCTGCTGGACCTGACCAGTGTGCCATTGGCCCCTCATTTGAGAGGTCAGATTTTATCTCCAAATCAAAATGTCTTTCTATGTACATCTTCCAAAAATACTTGTCACTCAGCAATGTCTGGAAAGAAATTTAACATAGAAAATATTATCCTAGATTATACCTCTAGTATAAAATCCCACCGGGCACACGACGTTGTTTCAACGTTACGTTGAAATTTGGTAGAAAAAAGGCTGCGACGTCGACAACCTACAGTAATATCTACGTTGCTCTGACGTTGTTTTAAAAACATTGGTTCAACAGCAGTCAACAGACGTTGAATCAACGTTCATTCATGGTTAAATGTACGACGTCGATTTGTGAAGTAATCTCCACGTTGTTTCAACGTTGATTCAACGTTGAATTATGGTTGACGAGATTGGCAACCTAATTTCAACGTTGTTTCAACGCCGAAACAGTAACGTCGATCCAATTTGCATAGTCAACCCTTTTTCAACGTCTATCCAACGTCTGGAAGGTCATTTCCAACGTTGATTCAACGTTGAATAAACGTCATTTTGCCCGCTGGGATGATCTCACATTTGACAATTAAAGTAAGATAACAATATAATAGACTAGGCCTATATAAGACACATTAAGATGCATTCAATTTGCTGCTTAAAATATGTTGACAACAAAAAGATTGTCTGGATAAAAACATCAATGGTAAATACTTCCCCCTTCTTCACAAGTAAAATCATCTGTCATTAGACAGATCAACCATTAATGCACGAGATTTTCTCCTTCACAAGTAAAATATATTGTTTGGCATTAGACAGAGCAAAGGATTAAGGTACATTCCTACCTTCCAAGCTTTGCAAACTTGCATGTATCGTAAAACATCACGTACAGGAAGCTGTGATAAGATGACATAGAGGACGTCCACTGGTAGTTGTACTTCTGATAAAATTAATACATCTGGAAATTCTGTTTTTTTCTAAACAGTGGCAATAATCAATACATTTGGCAACAGTATGGCAATATTCATTGGTACGTTTTAAACACCAAGGGCCGGTTGTTCAAAGCTAGGTTAGCTTAACCCTACAGTAGGTCTACCTAAAATTCAAAGCAAACTTCCTGACAACAGCCTTGCCTATAAATTTGGAAGTATTTCATCAAAGATCTTGACTGGATCGATAGGAGTTTTCCCCTCTAAAGTTTTGAAAACAGACGTGTAGAAATATACAAACTGAAATTTACAGCAGCTAGCTACTGTAGGTTCAATTTTAACCCAGGGTTAGCACTAATACACCTTTAAATAATCACGCCCCCAGAGAAAATTTCATGAGTGAACGTTTCTTAAGGTTCACATGCATATCTTATACTGTATACCAACTAGTTTCTGAGTCCCCTGTTAAGTCAGACATAAAATAAAACTCAAGCAGAATCTGAACTCGCATATTCATCTAACCGCCCTTCTCACTCATTCTATCACTTCTCTCTTCATCTTCTGCCTGTGCTCCTAGCTTCCATTTACTTTCCACTCTATATTTTTCTTCCACTCCTAAACTATCTCATCTAGTTTAAGTGGTGAGCACCATGCATGACAACTAGTCTCATTTGTATTTTGCCACTTAATTCTGGCATCTTTGTATTGTTTCCATCTTTCTATAGTTTCATAGTATATTCTTCAGATTGTTAAATGTAATTGTCTAGTATGTAAGTTATGTACAATAATGTATAGTTATCTATTAATGTGCCAAATTCAAGCTGTTAAATCCTTGCAAAAAAACTTTAGTTCAGTCCTCTGACTAATGCGACTGGACTATAATCCAAATTTATAGAAATGTAATTAGGAATAATTCACGACAAACTTGGGAACCATCGTTTGAAAATTAGTGACCTGAAATCAATGTGAGGTTGTTTATATGGAATTAATGACACAAGAATAGACCCATTGCACTGACGTCACAAATCCTTAGAGTGTCCTCCAGATGCTCCTTAACAATATCTGTTTAGGTACAACAACAACGTACAGCGCAAAAATTAACCATTCTAATACAAAATTATAAAGACAGTAAAGACAATAAAGTTTATTATAAAGACAATAAAGTTTTACAAAATTTGCTTTGTTTACAAAAGTTACTGAGTGTATATTATGCATAAATTGCTCATCTGTCCTCCAGATGCATCGTCACCAGCGCTGTGACGTCATGTGCAATGGCCAATGGGTCTATTTGCTGAATTTATATAATTTTCCAATTCTCACCTGACTGTCAGTTACTTGGCTACTCTTAGAAGAATCAGTCTTTTCAATTACTAGCGAATATTTCCCTTTCACTGGAGAGAATTGCTGACGTTCATCCCAACTATTTTTAGTTTTCTCCTGAAATTTCTTTTCGAAATTTTTCTTGGCCTCTTCTTGGCTGATTGGACCTTCTAGCTTACTTTGCCCATCAGTTCCCTAATAATTTTGGAAGGATAAGTGGCATCCAGGCTAATATGCACTCTACTTAATGTTATTTTACTTTATCTAACACCAAAAATTTTACTTAGGCGTTACATATCGCGAAAAACTTAGGGTCGGTAGGTCGGAAATAAATTTTTTTTTGAATATTTTTTTCATGGTTTTTTCAATAATTAGTGTGACAACAGACGCCATTTTTGGCAGCAGCCGGGAAAAAATAGGGTCGGAGAAAATAAGGTTGCACAGTCAATAGCGTTGAAAAAATAATAGGGTCGGCGGAAAAAAATAGGGTCGGTCGGGAACCGGAAGGTTCCACAGGTATTTTTTTACGCCTTATCAAGAGAACAAGAGGAAAGTGCTAGCTAGCACTCGATCCAAGCCTGAAAATAAGCGGCCGGTCACAGACATTGTCTGGTAGGAACAGGTAACTGCCCGGCACAACTGGGTTTTTTTGCATTCCCCATTTAAAAATTATGTGTATAATTGTCCAAATTTTAATCACATAAAATTGAACCTAATTAAACATTATATCTTTAATTAATTTACTAATATTTTTAAATTATGATAATAGGTTGTTTTTTATCGATCCTTTCCTCTTATTCACTTATTTGAATACTGCACTAAATTTTATATTTTTGTTACAAGATGTGTAATTGACTGAAAGTCTTTTGCTGCATGGGCTTTAATTTTCATTTTTAAATTACATATGAAAATGCTGTGAAATTTATGACTGTTCGAGTCTGTATGACACAATTGACTAGTGGCTTAATTGTTGTTACTAAGCTTTTCACTGGCTTCTTTTATTTCAAGGACCACAGAAAGCTATATTTGCTTTACAGGGTGTTAGCCAGAAGTAAAAAAAATCCGTGTTTACCTAAAATTGGGAAATTTATTTTAGCATGAAGCCGGACATTTCTTTGTGGGGGTCTGGGGGCATGCGGTTGCCCCCTCTCGATTTTTAAAATTTTTGTGTCTAATTTTTACTTTAACATGTTTCTAATGGCGTATTAACAACATTGAATTTCTATAACTATTTCTATAACTATTTACTCATCAATGGGGTAAGTGCTAAGTTCCTATCATTATTTCAAAATTTTGGATTTAAAAAAAATGACATGAAAGTCCCCTAATATCCTATTTTAGCCTGCGTGGCAAACGGTTTTTCTACTGGCAGCAAGCCCCCCTGCCATGCAGACTAATCCTATTTCAGTGGAGCCTTCGCTGGCTCTTGCTGCATGCGTGGGTTATCTGTGAATATTCTCTCTTTAATACATAATAACTATTTAGGCAAGGCCATACGATAGGTCCATAGCGACTGTGTGTGAGGGAGTCTGGGAGTGTAATATCCCCAACTCCCAATCATTGTTCATGAGCAATTTCAGGTAAATTTCTAAGAGACTTAAGTCAATTTTCAGGTAAATTATATGAACATTGACAAGCTATAGAAATGTGGAAGTTAGCCAGTAAGAAAATAAGCCAAATTTTGGTTGCATTTTCAGGATTTCTGAGGGTCAGACTAGGAATCACCTGTCATTTATAGCTTAGATTTGTAAATAAATATAACAAAGTAAATAAATAAACTTTAACATGCACGGCATTAATTTACAATCCACAACGCAGACTTAAATTGTAAAACCCAGTACTGTAATGTGTTACATGAGAAAGTTTTTAATATCAGAATATAAAACGACACTTACGTTTCTTCCCCATCTTGTCCAAACATGACATCCTTTGTCATTTTTCAACACTTGAATACGGTAAAATTCATCTGACTTTTCATCAACAAAGTTAAGTAAACAATCATAACCTTGAAACACTTCGGCTTTGCCTATTAACTTGCAATGCAAGTCATCCATGTTATTTTGCAACCTCGTTCCTATATCTATGCTCGTACCCTGCCTCCACTCTCCAGTCACCAGGCCTGGAGGGCGAATTCCTTAGAAAAAGCTCGAAAATTCCTCAGATTTCCTTAAAATTCCTAGGTAAATTGGAAAAATTACTACACCCTGATCACATAGTTGCAAAAAGTGTTTTTTTCTCCTTTTTTGCTGTTTTTCAGTTTTTCAACCTTGTTTCTAAGCACTAAAAACTGAAAAAAATCGGTTGTTAGCATCATGCCATAAAGAAAACATTCAACATGATGTATTTTTGATCGTTGCTACTTGCTGCATTAAGAGCTTAGCCGAAAATCTGTAGATTCAGAAGAAACAGCATATACTGACCTATGATACTGACATTTAACTTTTGAGAATTTTAATGGCAGGCAGCCATATGTACATTTATGACATAGTGAACATACGAATGTATGTAATTATGTGCGTATAATGTCTCTATGGTATAATGTTGCTACTAGCCTGACTCTTCCACAGTCCCTAACACTGCTTCTAACGCAAAGGACCATGGGATCCCATCAATCAGCGCGCGTTGGGTAATTCAACGCGCGCGTTACTAAAGCAACTGGGGACGAGTCAGGCTACTAGCCCGCCGTGCAGGCCCAAGAGAAGAATTTGCTACTTTCAAATTTGCCTGGCGTGGTTATCCTCCGTCGAACGTTTTTAGTCCAGAATAAAATGTTTCGGAAATTCCTTAAAAAAATCCTTAAAACTCTTCAAAGTTCCCATTTTTAAGGATAATTCCTTAATTAAAAGTGAGAGCACTGCCTGCCTCGTACCCACTGAGCAACCTCGTTCCCAGGCTCTTCCCTCTACGAGCTTTCTTTCAAGAAATCACAATCTTGTTCCCCGAGCGTGCGATAAGGATCGCAGGCTCGGGGAACGAGATTGAAGAAATCATAGAAGAATTCATTCTCGTACCCAGAGCCCTTCTTACGCGCGGTGCGACGAGGGGCTCTGGCCAAATCCATATTCCGAACTGGCATCTGATTGGCTAGTTCTAACACCGAATATTGTTTTCTTACCATGTTTTTTTTATGGTATCCGGTTATGGATTTGGCCAGAGCCCCTCGTCGCACCGCGCGTAAGAAGGGCTCTGGGTACGAGAATGAGAAGAAACTGTGGAAAAGAAAAGTTAGGGATGGGCGATTCCAGCTTTTTCATTCGATACGATATTTACTTGATATTTGCCATTTTTTTCAATATCGATACCGATATATCGATATTTTCCCAACTCGAACAACAACAAAAACAAAAGAGTATTTTCATCTCTTCAACGCCAAAATTATGCTGATTGAATACGTTTTCAACACGTTTATTTTCATGATTGATCTGATTCTGCCCGTGGAAAATTAAGCACCATAGAAAATGAACTACTTTTATAGTATTTACGCCTATTTAGGCTTTTTGGTATCATTTTCATGATGAGTCCGCTAACCGAAATGAAAAGAATATCGCAGGCTCAGAAGTATCGAAACAATCGATATTTCTTGCCAGTATCGATACTTTTCTTCAAAACCCTGGTATCGATAAAATCGAGTATTTGGTATCTTTATCGGCCAATCCCTAGGAAAAGCTATTGGCACAGAGGAGAGATGAGGTTACATATTTAGCTCATCTGTGCTATCGGTATTAAATATACCCTGGCCCTGGGTGCCAGAGGTTTTCAGGTTTTTAAAGGTCTTGAGATTTGACAGAAACCCTAGCTGGGCAACTTTCTGAAGGCTCTGGAACCCAGGGTATCGGCAATATAGTGGTATTTATAATACTTATCAAAGATCGAGAATCAAACTGAGAGAAAACTAGACAAGTGATCTCATCATCTCACTGATCTGTGCGACGTTTTATAAAGAATTTAATAAACATTCTTGATTATCAGTACTTTTTACGTATTGACCAAAGAATATCAACTGGCAATTGGGATTTTATTGTACTTTTATGGAAGGACAAATACTCAGTAGTAATGTGCCTGTATAAAGTGAAAAGGTCACCTACGGGAATTTCGTCATATTTGACATGTGTAAGCATGAATGAAATTACATGTATAGTGATATACACAGTATCTTGAAACATTTGTGTATGTGTTAATTTCATATTTATTTTTTCTGGGTTGTTTGTTTCTCATTGTCTGGAAGAGGGGGGTAATGGCGGGAGTGGGGTTACCAATCCTGAAGCATGAGAAATAATATCCAGTACTGATCTTGAAGGCATGAAAAATAATAGAACTAGAAGGAAGCCCTGAAGCACATGTATAAAATACCAAATTTATTTGGAATCTGATATGTAAAGGGAACATGAAATGTAAGCAACAACCAGACTTAGAGGTCTTAAAGGTGAATAACAGTCTGTACTGATCGAGTATGCGTTCACCTATTTGTTTACAATTGCAGTTACATTGGTTTATGATTTATGAAATTTGGACCAAGGCAATCAGTCGAACCCCTATAAGCGGACACCTCTCTTAAGCGGACACCTCTTTTAAGCGGACACATATCTCAGTCCCATTCGTTTTCTTTAATAAAATACTATTATCATAACCCCTATTAAGCGGACACCCCTCTTTAACGGACGCGGACACCTTTCTGGAGGTCCCAATGGGCAAATCAACCTCTCTTAGGCGGACAGATGACAGATTGTCTGATAAAATGTATTCAATATTCGACAGTAAATAACAATTGAGACCTTGACCATTTGCGTAATAGACTAAATTTTGAACTAAACAAGTCTAGACAAAAATTTCATCACAGCTTGAAGGAGCATCACAAAATTAGTAATATTCCAACGTTTCGTTGCAAAATGTTGTAAAATGCGGAAAATATAGCCTTGCGAAATTTGCAATTTTCAGTCATTTTAG